AAAATTCCATGTGAGTGATTCGTTGCGATCGGCTGACATGAAGTGGAAAGATTATATTGAATCCATTGTTACGTCTGCTGATAAAAAAAAAAAGTTGTTCCACTCTGTTGTGCTAGACACTTTTCCCTCCTAAATTATCCTCCATATTTATAAGTCTACTATTCATCCATACCTTGGATATTGCTGCCACATATGGAACGATTCTTCTGCTGCATATCTAAAGATTCTTAAAGAGATTCCAAAGAAGAATCACGAATAGTAATTGTCTCAACCTAACGTCTCGGCTTCAGCCATTTTCCCATCACCTTAATGTAGTTTCAATGTGCCTTTACAATCTATACTTTCATTGTAATTGTTCGGACGAACTCTTTGCTATGGTACCTAGGGTTTATGAATTTAAGTACAGTGTTAATTTTACGGAAAGATCTAATCAATTTACGGCTGAAATGGTTAGGGTATAAACGTAAGTTCTATGCTAAGAGATTCTTTTCACATATTTCCCGTGACCGTGTGTGTTTGGTTTAATGAACAGCAAATATACAGAAATGCGATATCGCATAAACTGTAAAAATACGATTCCAATATCGGAGCATTAAGAGTTAAAAAAACCAAAAAAAACAAAAACATCTGTAATATTTTATCAAATTTAAGTACTAATTGACTAAATTTAATTCACAAATAACAAAGAGAAACATCATGACAGGAACTGTCATGCTAAAACCGACAAGACGCGATGTTAGAAAATGTTGAAACAGGCATAATTGATTGTGTTATACAGGAATAAATTGACTCTGCCGACACCTGAGATTGAACATAGATCACCAGTGAGCAAACACAGGCGATCCCATTATTGAATTAAGTAGACCACGTGACTATAGATGAAACGCATAAGTATGAAGTTGCGTGACGTCTAGATAGATCGATATTTCTCCTCTATCACTATACGGACCGCTATTCTCTACTCTATTCACTATACTATTTCTCTATTTGGATCACTAAACAGATTACTATTCGAGCCAGTATTATCGAGCAAGGATTATTAGTTCATATTAATGAATAAGTTCGAAGGCGTCTGACACCAGTATTGTTCAACGGCGTTACTATAGTTGTATCTGCGATTATAAAGTCTATGCTACAACGAGCATTACGAAAATGACAACGAGTATTCGTTGACATTACAAAAGATTGATTCTTTGATTCATTTTTTACGGCTTATCAACCATTTTCGGGTTATTTAAAGACAGAAAACATTTCTTGTAACAACTATTTTTTCAGATAATAATGACTTACGTATACAAGTCTTAAAAATTAACCCCTATCTGGAGGGAGAAGTGGTGGATTCATGTCTTCCCCCAAGGATATTTGCACGTAAGTGAATATAACGAACTGGAATTGGAACTTGGAGCACCGATTAACAATTCCGAGTCATTATCAATGACACCACCTGCACATCCAAGCTTACATCACCTGATATTTCCAATCAGTCAGCTATCGAGTACCAACCAGGCTCGACCTTGCTTAACTTCGCTGACCGAAAGGGAATCTGTGAAATTGACATCAAGCATATCTCTGCTGCCTGCTGACACACGCGTGCGCGCACACACAAACGCACACACACACATGCACATATATATATATATATATATACATAATTATAAAATTTATATATTTATAAAATTCATATATATATATATATATATATATATGTATATTTATATATATATATATAATAATGGTGTGTGTATGTCACCACGAAATGTATCTTTATGAATTAGACATCCGACAACATTCATATTTCTCTTACTTAAACCCTTCCACTCACCTCTCCTAAAATTCTCTCTGTTAAGGTTTAATCTCCCTCCTTATCGAGTATGTTACCGCTCATACTTACACTCTCTCTAAATTCTGTTTTATTTCCGGAGTTGTTTTTCCCTTGTTTTTTTTTGAATTTAGGTTTGATGAATTGATCGTATTTACGATTCCAATGGAATAAATTATGACCATGGGATATTAGTTTTTTAAGCTTTTTTTATTATATCCTTTTTCTGTCCTGACATTGAGTTCTACCTGGATTCTATCCTCTTGAATTTTTATTCAAAAAATATACATGTATGGGTATTTATATATTTTGCATATGTATGTATATTTATTTAATATTATCTATCTATCTATCTATCTATCTATCTATCTATCTATCTATCTATATATATATATATATATATATATATATATATAGAGAGAGAGAGAGAGAGAGAGAGATGTAGATATATATATAGATAGATAGATAGATAGATAGATAGATAGATAGACAGACAGAAAGCAGTTTCTTTAAATTTCACCGACAAAGTTTGTTTCATTTTTATTGTATTTTTCAAATTTTCGATTAAGATGTTGCATACTGGGGGGAAAATTGTGGAAAAACTATCCTTAGTTCATGTTTTGGACTGTTTTATTTTTTCACGTCCTTTCGACCGATTCGATCATTATCAAGAACTGGATG